AGATCTTCACGGTCGAACTACGGTCGAACTACGTGGAAAAGTAAAACACAAGATACATCTATTACTTGAACTGCTATAAGGATACTCCACATCGTATCAGAATATTTGTCTGTGTTCTCACATGTATGTGTTTGTCCCTACCTTAACGTCAACGATGAGCATTTGCAAATCATGAACAGGAATACTTGACGAGAGGCTGCACGCATCCATCCATTTTATGATGTAAAATATTCATATGGACAAGAGTCTCATTTTCACACGTATGAATACTTTATGTTGCCATTGACATTTGGTATAGGTTGCCCATCTCGATGTCCTCAAGCTTTGACGTCACACTGATGAACGATGCTTGTCAATGACGCGGTCTGTACACAATATACGCTTGTCAGTGACGTCAGTAGAACGATTTAGACCTGCCTCGACGTCACATTGTTGGGACTCGCTATAGATGTGATCCATAAACCATGAGTCGGGACACGTCAGTCGTTTTGAAAGTATATCAGTACCAACAAAGCGACGCAAAGAACCCTTACTTTATCTGATCATTAGGGTTGGATGGTTGGTTCGTTATTTAATGCTGCACTCAGCCATATCCCAGCTATATGGCGGCGGTCTGTAAATAATCCAGCCTGGACAGACAATCCAGCGATCAACATCATGAGCATCGATCTACGTTAATGGGATACGGTGACATGTGTCAACCATGTCAGTGAGCCTGTCCACCCCATCCTGTTCGTCGCCTCTTTCGTCAAGCATGGGTTACTGAAGACCAATTCTAACCCGGATCTTAACGGGACCCAGACATTAACAGTAACGCCCAAAGGCAGTTTCTTTCCTTTGGCGTACCAAAACCTATGACCTTAGATTCGAATCCCGGTTCATCCTCACAAGGTTTTCTGGTTTGTCAGGAACATGCCCGAGTTCGTGAGTTTCACCAAACCTGGCAAACATCTGCCGAAGGTTTTCCTCTCACACGAAGCGGACAAGCCGTAATATGACTGAAATATTTATCAAAGCGGCGATAAAACAAACTCATACCTCAGTCGCCCTATTACAGTTGTTTTGGCTGTATCCAGTCCAACAACCGACAAGCCCAAGTACACAGGCATGTGCGCAAGACGAATATCCACCATTGCCAAGATACTTTCACAGAGGATTCCACAAACAAGGAAAACCTATGTATATGCTGAGTGACGTCATGTAATCAAACTGAATCGATATACTTTCTTCATATACCAATTTATGTAAACTAGATCAATGCTCTTGATTAATGTCATCGAATGTAACTTCTACACCGTTGTTACAATCGAAATCCTTCTAACGACCGTCAGAAAACTTGCAATATTAATGTCCTGTTGAAAAAAATCATCGTGTTAATAAATGTAAGGCAAAGTCGTGCAGTGGCAATAACGTTTATCAAATAGTCGATACAGGGATTTGTTTTAATGCCGTACCTTTCCTTGATCGAAACTACACGTTTTATATATACATTTGAAACACGTCGCCGTTATTGACTTAAATCTTGATCTCACACTAATGACAAGTACACATTTTAACTTCCATATAGATATGTGGTCTTCAAATATGCTCGGACTATTAAGTAAGTGAGTGAGTTTAGTTTTACGCCTCTTTTAGCAATATTCCAGCAACATCACGGCGGGGTACACCAGAAATGGGCTTCAGACAGTACACCCATGTGGGGAATCGAACCCCGGATTTCGGCGTGACGAGCGAACGCCTTAAACACTAGGCTACCCCACCGCCCCTAGGATTACTAGTTATCATTGAGTATATAGTTATTTTGCTCTTTTGTTTAATTTCAGGATCAATGAGGTAGCCCAGTAATGGGCGTTAGCTCGTCAGGCTCTAAACCCAGGTTCGATTCCCCACATGGGTACAATGTGTCGAGCTCATTTCTGGTGTCCCCCGCCGTGATGTTGCTGGGATATTGATAAAGGAGCAGAGTAATTCCCTATCCACTCACTCGTTCGTAATCATAAGTATAATGTCAAGTATGAGAAATAAACATATCAGTGTCAAAGTATATCTGCTCCAATTGCGCTCAAATAGATGTAACATAAATCTGTTAATGTTCATTCCATATTGAAACAAGGTTATTTAAGCTCCGGCAAAGAACGGGTGACAATTGATTATATCTATATGTTTAACCCTCGTCTCTGAACTGTTCTTAAAACAACTGGGATATACGTAATGTTTATCCAGATATTCTGTTGTTAGTTATTGCAACATACAAAGCGTCACGCATGACCCCGTCGTCCAATGCAGGTTTGCTATGCTGAGTTGCCTCTCTTTGGAGATCCGGAAACTTATGATCGTGGGTTCGATTCCAAACTTCCTGATTACGTTTCGAGATTTGTCATTCCCATACCAGCGCACTGGGGTAATGGTCTCACAAACCTGCATTATCTCGAGAGTTCCCTTCACAATAAGCTCAAATATTAACTTTAGAATACGATTCAAAGCGGCGTTAAATCAAACTCTCTCACTCACTATTACGATACGTCTCTCACTCACTCACGATAAGTCCCATCTCTTGGTAATGACAAGTTCTGACATTATCGACGTGTTAAATTGTGGCAGAAATTACAGTTAGGGATCAAATAGGAAACCACAAACCTGAACCGACCCTTGTCACCATGGTTCAATAATCGATCCGATATTGTGATTGGAATACTAACGAGCTGCGATCGAAATCAATGACGAACATAATATGTATCGGCTCATGGTTGAGCATACTTCATAGCTAAATTTGCGGTAATCGTGCGCAAAAGCAAAATTGACTATAAAAGAACTTGTTGAAAGTGAAAAAGAATTGACTAGCCTTCTCAGTGAGTGGTCGTATTTTTAACCCTGCTTTGAACAGATATCAGATATATCACGACTTGGTAGCTTGATGTGAGAGGACATTCTGAAGTGACGCAGGTCTTAGAAGTATATTCCTTTAGTGTAACCCTCGATCCAGTGTATACTGCTGACAAACAACTATATATATCGGACCAAACCGGGATTTGAACCGATTGATTAATGCTGCTTTGAACAGATATCAGATAAATACCATGGTGGCTAGATGTGAGAGAAACCCATTAAGTGATGTGTTTCTCAGACGTTTACTCTTTGGATGATCAAAAGAAAGTAGATCGGAGCGAATCGGGATTCGAATCTGTTGCTACAAATTTCATGCAAGCCTGTTGGCCGCAAGTCTTCAAAGTGAATTGAGAGACTTTGGACTTGGCCGCAAGTCTTCACAGTGAATTGAGATACTTTAGACTTGGCTGCAAGTCTTCACAGTGAATTGAGATACTTTAGACTTGGCCGCAAGTCTTCACGGTGAATTGAGATACTTTAGACTTGGCCGCAAGTCTTCACGGTGAATTGAGATACTTTAGACTTGGCCGCAAGTCTTCACAGTGAATTGAGATACTTTAGACTTGGCCGCAAGTCTTCACAGTGAATTGAGATACTTTAGACTTGGCCGCAAGTCTTCACAGTGAATTGAGATACTTTAGACTTGCCCGCAAGTCTTCACGGTGAATTGAGATACTTTAGACTTGGCCGCAAGTCTTCACAGTGAATTGAGATACTTTAGACTTGGCCGCAAGTCTTCACAGTGAATTGAGATACTTTAGACACGGTCATAAGTCGTGAGATGGCTTAGACTACTAGGACCCAAAACGTTTAATGCAGGTATCACTATTCAAGTACCCTGTAAGACGTTAAGAGGAAGCGATAACGATAGTATGGCCAATGAAACACAACACCTGAAAAACTGATTAACTTGGTTGCTAACCGAAGCGACAACTCTTAAAAACCTGTAGTCTCAGCCTTTCCCTTAGACAATTCTTTTGTCCTAGTATTAAATATCTGAATCTCCTTCAGTCAAATACCATAGTGCCAGCTTCAACCGGCGCGGACTCAATTTGCCTAACCATGCGTCTGTTGTCGGGCTATGATTGATCATAATGTCTCGGGCTTTAAAACACTACGCTCTATTTCATCATATCCGCGCGAACGTTGCTCTTTGTTGTTTATAAAATCAGTCCTACTTCGAGCAGAATTCCCTAGTCCCTATTTCCCCCCGCCAAGCCCTATCAGTAATGCAAGAGCCCGAGATGGGCAAAGGAATGAATATTTCCTCCAGGTTCAAGTCCAAATTTCCAATCTCACTGGGACTCCTTTTCAATGTCGTTATTTCTATGTCTGAAATTATATGAAGAATGATAAGTGTGAGCCCAAGACGAGGAACGTCCATGTCAGAATATTATATATATCCTCCTAGGCGAGGAATATCCATGCTTGGTCGTACCAGTATAATTTAAAACCGTCGGGATACGTTGACGAGCAAAGAGCCAAGTCATCGAATCTGACCACCAGATGATGTAATCGCCTCTGACCGGAAGCTTGGACATATCTTTGACAGCACGTGGTTGTTAATACGAGCAACGACCATGACATACTAGGACAACGACACAGTCAGGCACAAAAACCTTCGATCATCACAAGACCATCTCCTTTCACATTTATGAGGCTCTGGGAATATATTCTACTTCCTCATCCTCATTGGTAGACTTCATTCAACAACATTGACTTAAACTTCAATCCTGTAGGTTCATCTTGGAATTGATTTGATCAAATGAAACCAGACTGAGTGCTTCCGATCAGAAACGGGTCATAACAAGAACTTCTAGACATTTGCATTACACATGAAAAAATTATGCTTTTCAGCACTCTAATTTAAATGCCTGAAAGGCATGTGAAGATTATTTGTATACTATATCGACTGCAGTGGTGAAAGTCTTATCGGATGAGTTGATATTTCTGCAGAAGCATCAACACATGAGAAATGGTAACTAGGCGTTTAAACGTTTAGCTTATATCTAAATACCAAGTTAATACAAAAAATATACCACACTCTACATGCACATTGTCATTATCTTTAAAATGGCGTTTCAATAAGATGACACAAGATGCACAATACTCACCTAATAATGTAAATCCTCACAAATGAGGTAACAACACGTTTACCCCACATGTATTCTGAATGTCCCCCATACACGTATTTCGAGGCATCGTAATCCAAACGAGTAACTATAATGTTGAAGTTCGGCCTAAGACGAAGCCTTCATTACAGACCCAGCGGACCCGGATCACGATAATACGGCTTCTGGCTCAGACTATAAATCGACACAGTAAACACAAACAGTCAATACGTTACTGCAGAACCCTTGTAGACTGGGACAGACAATACGGCATAGTCTGCAAATGTGCCATAGTTTTGCAAGAGTGTGTCCAACAAGGAAACGCACTTGGTCCCGCTATTTCAAGTAAGTCGGTGCGGAATAATCTTTATTATTGTACGCAATGGCTTGTGGTGGTTATTACACGAAAAGTCTGACTTCCCATGCAACTGAGTCACGGCGTATTTATAATTCATTGTTCAGTCAACTTCAAACTTAAAATCGTTATCCTGTCCAGACGATATTCTAATTTATCTACCCTGTCATACAGAAACTTCTTAAATGTACAGCCAATTTCGATATTTCTTTGAACTTTGAAAACATATGTTTACGTCATTTTACCAAAAAAAATTCGGAAACAGGTACAGAAATTGAAAAACGCTTTTTCAATTTGGAAAGACTGAATGGTTCACTTACATTCTCTTGTATATAACTGTGCATGTATGATGTCTTTGTATGGCACTGATGTGATACACATAGAGGGTGAACATATATTTTGACGGCTGTCAGCATATGCAACTGTATGTTCTTCGCATGCTAATTTCTATTTATCCAATGTTAAAGCTTTAAACATGTGCCTCATCATAACATCTTGATACATAAGTAAAGAGGAAACTGATTTTATAAATTTATGTGTTAAATGTAGTTACATTGTTACTATAATCATAGCATTGTGGTGCGCAATAGTGCAGTGGTAAGGCGTCTGCCTATCACGCTGAAGGCCGGGTTCGATCCCCGGTGGAGGCACCTAGGTTCGGATCCCGAGGTGGGCACCTTTGCGTAGTATCCTTGGACAAGATACTTTGATCTACATTGTCTCGGAACACCCAGCTGTAAAATAGGTACCCGTGAGGATGTGCTGGCAATGTGAGTGTTTAGTTCATTGCGCCTAACAGGCAGCATGGCTGTACATTCCCCAGGGAGTTGAAAAAGTATCGGAAAGTACGATAGTGTCCTATGACCGGGGATAGTAATGTACGTAGCGCCGTGAGCAGGCAATGTGCCTGGATATGAGCGCCATATAAGCGGACTATTACTATTACTTGATTGCTGAAATATAGCATGTATAAATCAAAATTTGTGGTCACGATTCACAATCAAAACCATTAAATGTCCCCGAAATGATGCAAGGATGATTATGTTTTGAGGCATACTGCAGCAATATTACTACAGGAGACACCAAAAGTAGGTATTGATAAAGGGAACTGAACTCGGTCGGGTCTTCGGCGTGACACGATTACGCTCAAACCATTTGGCTAATTTACCGCTCTATCGTACCTTATACAATGTATCCGTACAAACAAGTCACTAATCCTGGCAGATAAAACTAACACCTACCCGAGCCGGACACATTGTATCTGGTAGGTTTAACGAACTGAGACTTTCTGCGCTTTGATTTTACGTGATGCTATGGGAGGAAAGCGAATGAGTGAGTGACGTGGGTTCTTCGTCCTTTAAGCAGCGTTCCAGTTTTCTCACGGCGTGGGAGGAATGCCTGAAATGATGCAGGTCTCAGGCTGTCACCCCTTAGGCCAAACCCATGAGGACAGGTACGGTTCTGACAAACCTTGAAACACAATCGGGAACAACTGGATATCAACACGATAACATTCTACAAGCAGTAGCCGGGTTCTAACATTGTACCGATGTGGAGAATGTAACCCCAGCAATCTCTATAAGAGATCACTCTCACCAGAGTTGGTGATTATGGTTTTACGCCGCTTTTAGCAATATTCAAGCAATGTCAAGGCGGGGGACACCAGAAATCGTTTTCGCATATTGTACCCATGTAGGGATCGAACCCGGGTCTTCGGCGTGACGAGCGGACGCTTTAACCATTAGGCTACCCACCGAGTCACCGAGAGCCGAGAACAAAGCCGATAAGCAGCCACCCATTCTTGACGCATTTATTCCTAAAATATATATATAGTACCGATCAAGGAGATCACGAAAAAGCTAAAATTGACACTGTTATAGTGAGTGAGTGAGTATGGTTTAACGCCGCGTTTAGCAATATTCCAGCAATATCACGGGGGCACCAGATATGGGCTTCACGCATTGTACTTATGTGGGGAATCGACCCCAGGTCTTCGGCGTGAGCGAGCCAAAGCTTTAACCACTAGGCTACCCCACCGCCCCAACCAAAGGAAAACAACATCAACGATCTAACATGATGACAGAAGCCTTACGCTCTCTTGTGATTGCAATATAAGGAATGCAATCTCTCGCAACAGCACCGCTGGTCCGGCACATCCGTATATGCCCGCTCAAATCTCTAATGAACGAGACAATAACACTTCCCATATTATACACAAGTTGAGAATCGAACCCGGGTCATCGCCTCAGAAGCGAACGCTTTCAATGCTGCACTACCAACCCTTTCTGGAAGTTTAAACGACTCTCTGATAATCGAAGAAGCCATGGTTCTGCTGTAGCCTGTCACCACCCATGACCTTATAACATTGAATTCACCAGTCCAAGCATCCACTTGAGTATCAATGACAACGATGTATCAATTTCCTGGTGGTCGATACGTTCTGATTACTCTCCAATACATTGACAGTGATTGATCGGCGCTGGCACCAATGGTGCAGGTTCAGCACCTAGAACGCTTCACGGTTTAACATTCAGAAAAATATGTTTTTGTGGAACTATGATTTACGAATGGGAAAATATTCGATTTATTTGCTGATTAATTGCAGGAACTTCCTGTATTTGTAATACTCAATTGGATTACATAACCGCTCCTGGTTGCACCGATGGTGTTTTGACTGCTGAAGTGAAATGAGACATTGTTTGGTATTAATGATGCCTGTGTTAACATCACCTTTGTTCCGGTTTGGAAGAATAGAATGGTAATAGAATATCGATGAAATGATCCAACGTATGTTATGTCTCAGTGAAAACTCTGTCCCAGTGTACCGTTTGAAGCAATGAATAATTTGTAAGTCACGTGATATTTTCTTTTAATTCTTTGGATAAACTTCCCTGGAGATGTTTGGCAACACATTTATCTTTTACTTTACTCCCATCTGGCCAAAATACATTAATTATTACTTATCACTGAAGCAAATTAAATGAAGCATTTAGTTTTGTACACATTTTAAAACAAGTGACAGGATACAAGCAATGGTGTGTTGCAGATTAACTGAATGCATTTGAAAAAAACCTTCTTTTTTTTTAGTTGTATTTGTTTAAAACCAAATGCTCAAGGACTCAATGTTAATGCAACGGTGTGATTCCCATGAAGCTTGAATGTTTCGTGAAACTACAAATATAGTTACTTCTTCATTTAAAGGGGACCCGTGAAGATCCGGGTGAGAATTGCTCTTCAGCACCCATATATGTCGTAAGAGGCGACTTACGGGATCGGGGTGGTCAGGCTCGCTGACTTGGTTGACACATGTCATCGTGCGTAGATAGATGTTCATGCTGTTGATCACTGGGTTGTCTGGTCCATGCTCGATTATTTACAAACCGCCGCCATATACCTGGAATATTGCTGAGTGCGGCGTAAAACTAAACTTACTCACTCCTTTAAAGGGAGCGCGGGTGCTTAGGCGTCTAAGGCGTCGCGCAAAGTTGCGTCCCTTGGGCAAGCCAGGAACCAATGATTCTAGGTTTAATCCCGGTTTGGCCTGATTACATTTGTCAGCACCATACCCGAGCTTCTGGGTTTAACCAAAGTGGTACCCGTCTAATACCTGCTTCACGCGAAAATAACATGGCCGATCCTTTAATGAACCCTGTAATGAAGCATTTCATGAACTAAATATGCACACATTATGTCTCCTTGGCGAACTTCCATCAGTCAGTTAGTGTTATTGGAACTACAGAAGTATTTTTTCATCTTTAGCACAGATCTCGGTAACAAAATTGTCACAATATACACACGCCAAGCATCTCGACCAAACAACGGCAATTCGTTTGTAAGCACAATTAATTTCTAAAAAATGACACTTCATAACGATTTTTATACGAGCATGTGTGGTGTACCTTTTTCAAGAAAGGAGTAACAGAATTCTTGTATTTCATAAGCGACAGCGATGTCAAAAATGAAATAAAAAACCCAAAAGCAAACAAAAACAAACAAAAAACAACAACAAAAAACAACAATCCAAGTGTCAGCAAGAAATAACGGTTTTGAACTTCTGCTGCGGAAACGGAAAACGGATGGTGGACATGTTTCCCGCTATATCCCCGTTTTTCTGATGAGGACATGAATTGTTGCAGAAGTTTTGTAAAATGAGTATGGCACACATACGAGGGTAATGATGTATTTACTTTCTTTGAAAATCCCAATTGTCGAATTACGTCACCAATCAGCAGCTATGACCTCATTTCCGATGCGACGTAATATCGACTATTCGTTACAATAAGGTAAAATGATTGACTGAGTGGGTTTACTTTTACGCCGCACTCAGCAATATTACAGCTATATAGCGGCGGTCTGTAAATAATCGAGTCTGGACAAGACAATCCAGTGATCTACAGCATGAGCATCGATCTACGTCAACAATGCCGTCCGAATAACGTTAAATATTTCATGCACTGTCAGGTACTGAAGTTCACTTAAAATTTAGTCAGCTCTGTTATTCCCAACCCTCTGAGCATAAACCTGCATTATTCACCTGATAAAAGTTCCAGCGGCGACAACGCTGTTGACAAACTACACGCATAATCTGTCTCCATCAACATTCCAGTAACGCCATGTCGTGTATTGATTAGTCTTGCTGGAATTCCTCCGTCGGCAATATTGACGTGCCATTTTGCTTCCCAGAGACAATTACAACAGACAATTACAACATCTATCAGGGGTCACAATGACTGGCTCACAATTCCTGTCTGCGAGCAAACAATGCTCGTACAGTGGTTTCTACAAAATATAATTGTTAATATTTGAAACATTGAAATCGTTCATGGATATGTCTTTAAAGCCCCATTAACACGTAGTACT